GGTAGGCAGGGGCAGAATATTTTTTTTTCTCCCTTATTTTCCTCCCCCCAAAACTAAGCCCTACCACAGAGTTTCGTAGCGAAGCCCGTGGGTCCCCAGATAGTTAATAATAATCTGCAACCCCGAGAAACATCCAGATCTGCCTTGGGAAAGATTCCATAGGTAAGATTAAAATGTCGGAACATCTGGCCGGACCGTGGTAATAGTTGTATTTTTTTAAAAAAAAAAAAAAAAACAGAGATTTCTTTGCAGATTCTTTCCACTTTATTTGAACTCAAGGCACCCCCCCAAAAAACGGTTTGGCCACCGGAGGTGAAGAACAGGAAAATAACCCCCAAAGCTTTGAGGAGGGGGGGGGGGAGCCTGCAACCACCCCTGAATTGCGCCTCTCCACAACCCCCCCATTCTCCCCCCCTTTCCTTGTTCCCAAATAAAAGCGTCGAAGGCAGGTTCAGAAAGGGAAGGAGGCGTTTGGGTTGTGAATCTCCCGGGGACAGTCAGGAAAACGCCTGGAAAACTTTTGTGTGGCTCGCGGAAAACATTTGGTTGCATTTCTGGATCTGGATCTGGATCTGGATCTAGGAGGGGAGGGGGATCATCCGGACGAAGGATCAGCGAACGATTTAAACAGGTGGACGTTCAACGGGGCAGCTTCCTTCCCCGGTTGTGCTGCGCGAGAACTTCCGAATAAGAGCATTTGTCAACCTTGGTGGCTTTAAAGACACCGGGGGACAGACGGACGGAACTAGAACTCCCAGAATTCTGGGAGTTCTAGTTCCGTCCGTCCGTCCCGTATTAAAGTCACCGAGGGGCACAAACACTGCAGACACAGAGAAGACAATTCACCAGGTGAGGCTACCCCACCCTGGCACGGTTCAGACATGCTGGGGTTGCAAGCGAATCGGGTGGCTGGCTGGCTAGCCAGCCATTTTGGAAACTGCGCACCGGGTGGGGCGTTTTGGATGGTGCCGGGTTCGGGAAAGGGCCGCCCCTTTCATGCGTGGGAGAATAATGCCTCGGCTGTCGGAAAACAGTGGCCGCGTACGCACAAGTCGGGAGAGTGGGTGAAGCGAGGAAGGTTGGATGAAATTCCTCCCCCCCAAAAAAAGCCGGAGTTTACCCAACATCCTGGATTACCCGCCGATAGCCATTTAAGGAAGAAACAAGCCAGGATCTGACGATTTCGGGGGAAGGGGCAAAGGGGTGGGGGGGTCCAGCCAGGATGAAGTGGCGAGAAACAGAAAAACTGAGCCGGACACCCGGTTTCTTCGCGGTGAGATTTGTACCGATGGGTCGGTGGCGGATGACGGGGAAGAGATGGGACATGCCACGATGCGTCCGATGTTGGTTTATTTACAAGAGGTGCAGGAGGGACCATCGGAGGGGTGTGGTACTAACAAGCAGGAAAAACACTGTGAAAGAAAAGAGAGAAAGAGGAGACGTGTTTAGCTGGGGAACCTCGATTTTAGCGTTGCCGTCTTGCGTGATGACGCCCGCCCCGCATGCCAGATAGTCCTCGACTTACGACAACGAAACGCCCAAGTTTCTGCCGTGGAGCGAGCTTTTTTTAAAGACCGTCTTTAAAAATGACAGTTGGCCTGTTTTACGACCGTTTTTGCCAGGCTTGTTGAGTGAATCGCTGCGGTTAAGCTACTTAAGACGGTCGTTAAGTCAATCTGGCTTCCCCCGATGTCAGAGGGTCGCAAAAAAAGGCATCACGTGACTCCGGGACGCTGCGACCATCACAAATAGGAACCGGTGGCCAACCGAATATAAATCATGTGACGATGGGAAATGCTGCCACGGCCGTTAAGTGTGAAAAAAGGGTGGTGAGTCAAGTTTTCTCGATGCCATAGTTTCAGTCACCGAACGTTTGTAACTCGAGGACTATCCGTACGGTTCTTCCCGCCAGCTTTGTCCCTCCGAGCTCCACCCCAGCCCCAATCTAGCAGCTCAACAACATCTGGTGACCACAACCGCCAGCCTTACCATTGAAATCCGCCGATGGGCTCCGTGAACCTGTGACGGATGAGGAACGTTGCCACGGCTTCCGCTACCTGAAAGAGAGAGACCGGAGGGGGGGAGGGTTGTTGTTTTTTTCCGCGGAGACGAAGGGGACTCTCCCCCTTTTCCCTGGGACGGGCCCTCCCCAACCCACTGGGAACCCCTGCGTTCTGCACCTTCCTTGCTCTCTCCCGCAAAGGAACCGTTCACGCTGACGGGTCAGGCCTTGCCCACTGGAGCCCGGAAGGTGGTTTCCAGAGAACATTAACCGAACTAACAACAGAGTTGGAAGGGACCTTGGAGGTCTTCTAGTCCAACCCCCCTGCTTAAGGAGGAGATGATCCTAGGCCAATCTGGACAAATGGCTTTCCAGTCTCTTCTTGAAAATCTCCAGTGATGAAGGACCCACCATGCTGTGAGGCAAGTTGTTCCATTGATCTGTCTGTCCATCAATCATCTATCAATCGTGCCTGTCTCTGTCTAATCAATCTATCTGTCAATCATCTATTTAGCTATCTATCTTCCCTCTCCCTCCTCCATCTTTGTCTCTATCTGTCTATCATCTTTCATCTATTTATCTATCATCTCTCTCTCCATCTATCTTTGTCTCTAACCTGTCTATCATCTCTTTCATCTATCTATCCATCCATCTTCTATTTATCTCTCCATCTTTTTGTCTCTATCTGACCTATCATCTCTTACATCTATCTATCTATCTATC